CACCAATAATACACCAATGGAGGTTCGTAGTACTGAAAACCAATGTCAAGGAGAGCTTCTCTCTCCGCCACAACACAAGAGTCCAGTCCCTTCACACTCCTACTTGGCGCTCAGCGCCCAGCCTACTCCTACACAGCTACGATCGACCTACTAATAGACCATGCAACTGTTGACATCAGCGGGCACCCGAAGTACTTGAAGATGTCGCCCATATGCAGACCATCGCCAATACAAGGTATGTCCCCTCTTATTATCATCATCATCATCCTTCGCCCTTCCCTGACTTTACACCCACACATGTCCTCACTTACACCCGAAGACCACCCCTGCGCCTCGCTGTGCTTCCAAGCCCAGCCCGCTATGAAGGCTGGCTATGGCACTGCCCTCAGCAGCGCCCTGCTCCAACACACGACCACACGTGCGCAGCCTCTTGCTCCAATGCCGGCAGCCAGTCCGCGAGCAATTGCTCCAGCAGCGCTGCCGCCAGCCAGCAAGTGACCGAATGAGGCTGCCTGGCGAGAGCTCTTTCCTTTTTGGAAAGAGCTGGCCTGCTCGCGCAGCCTGGCTGCACAGGCCTGGGCCCAGAAGCTTCCAGAAGGCCCCAGGATGCTGCCTTTGCCCTGCAGCTACTGGGCCTCGTTCGGTTGGGCCTCCCAACTGTCAGTGTATGAGGCTGTGATTCACACCCAGGGCCTGCATTCTTTGGAAAGGCCCGGTAGACCGTGGAAATGACTTTGTTGCTTTGCCTGTGTTTCTCTCAACTAACTGGCGCGTCGCAACTGCCTGTACCCCAAATATGAAATTGACAGTCAAAGGCCTCTTGTGAAATGATAGGCCCGCCTTCACTTAGGGCGGGCACCACTGTAACCGGGGCCCCTTAGGCCTGCCGAGGACGCAGATCCTCACATTCCCTCCTCCTTTACTTCGTTAGTCCTCTGAGAAGTCTCTTATTCAGCAGGCATCTTCCCTATCAGTTCTCTTTCATAGCCTGCGATCACTTGAGGTGCTGTTCTCAGGAGTTCTTCTCATGTGAACCACCAATCTTCTTTAGGATCTAGATGATGTCTGAATCTCACACTATACTGCATTCGCGGTTTAGGAGGATGCCCTCTGCCTGATGGTCGACGTACTGGCATCACTTGATGCTCCACGATCTGGTCGATGTCGACTTCGGTGGGGGGCAGCATTGATCTTCTCGAGGGAAACTGCTCAGTGGCAGCGAAAGGTGCTAACTTGGAAGCATGAAAAACAGGGTAAGTACGCAAGTGTGGCGGGATGCGAATCACGTATGAAGGCCCATCCGGTTGATCTCGTACAATATCTAGGATCTCCCAGGGCCCAAAGTACTGTGGAATCACGTATGAAGGCCCATCCGGTTGAATACGGTGGGCCCTGGGAGATCTTCGATATTGTTGGAGATCAACCATATGGTCCTTCATATGTAATCCGCATCCCACCTCACTTGCGTACCTACCCTGTGTTCCATGCCTCCAAGTTAGCACCTTTTGCTGCCACTGAGCAGTTTCCCTCCAGAAGATCAATGCTGCCCCCAACCATGGACGGCGAAGTGGACGTGGACCAGATCGTTGAGCATCGAGTGATGCCTGTTCCCCGACCATCAGGCAGAGGGCGCCCTCCTAAACCGAGAATGCAGTATCGTGTGAGCTTCGGACATCAACTGGATCCTAAGGAGGATCGCCGGTTCACAAGAGAAGAACTCATGAGAACAGCACCTCAAGTGGTAGCAGGCTACGAAAGAGCACTCAAAGGAAAGATGCCTGCAGAATAAGAGACTTCTCAGAGGACTCGCGAAGTAAAGGAGGATGGAATGCGAGGATCAGACTCCTCGGTAGGCCTAAGGGGCCCTGTTTGCAGCATTGTTCCCCCTAAGTGAAGGCGGAGGTGCTCGCCCTAAGTGAAGGGGGGCCTAACATATCGCAAGAGGCCCTCGACTGTCATTTTCATATTTGGGGTCTAGGCAGTTGCGACGTGCCAGTTGATTGAAAGAAACTCAGGCCGGGCAACAAAGACATTTCCACGGCCCTCCGGGCTTTTCCAACGAATGCAGGCCCTAGGCGTGATTCGCAGCCTCATACAGAAACAGTTCGGTGCCCAACCGAATGAGGCCCAGCAGCCCAGTAGCTGCTGTACACAGACAGCCTCCTGGGGCCTTCCGGAAGCTTCCAGGCCCAGGCCAGTCCAGCCAGGCTGCACGAGCAGGCCGGCTCTTTCCATATAGGGAAGAGCTCTCCTCTGGCGAGGGCATTCAGTCACTTGCTGGCTGGCGGCAGCGCTGCTGGAGCGATAGCTC